ACCACCCGCCTCGACTCATCTTCATGCTCCTTGTTTTTCTTACATTCACCGACTAGTGTATGGACCGTCAGGCTTTTCAGCATGTGTATGGACCGTCGTCACAGGCCTTGCAAACGACGAGTTAACACACAACATTTGGAAGAGAGTCAAGAATTCTATCGCCTTGACACAAGTACGTATCCAAAACTACCATGGACATCGTTTGAGCGCTGAAAAGCAAGGTCTAATAGTCGGTTAGAGCGCGTTCGGCAGGATTGAAGAACACGTACTATGGATGAATCACTGATTCCTGAGATCCCGAACATCATGATTGCCATAACGCACATCGCGTGGTGGCTATCCGTGGCATCCGTCCTTCTGTATGGTATCAGGCATGCCAAAAGGAGCCGCTGAGCAAGCGCACCACTGGTGAGGGCGGATACACGTATCAACCGCAGGTATGACGGGCACCAAGTCGCGAGTCGAATGGCCAGTGCCAGCACAACGCCTTCCAGGATGACGGTGCAAGCGGCACGAGTAACCATTCTAACCTGAGAACAATTGAGCATGATCTATCTTGTGTCTAGGTCTAGACTGGGCTGCGCATGGAAGTATCTGGGTTGCACTCACGTATATGGCCCTTGGGATCTTGATCCTGAGCAGTGACCACATGAGAATCGTGACCGGAACACATACAGCCAACATGGCCACTGAAACGACTGCAGTTTTGCCGATGACCAACGATGAAGAATGTGATGAGCGGGGGATAAGGAAGCGTTCCGAGGGCGCAGAAAGTTCCGCAAAAAGGGCTATCGTGCATCTGCGTGGTGGCGCTGTCACTCAAGTCCCCAGCGGCATGTTCCGTCAACTGGCAGCTGATGGTGGAAGTAGTAACGTTGGGCAACTCGCTGTCTTCAACCGCGGACAGCGTGAGCGCATTCCAATGCAATACCAGCTGCTATCCGCCTTGAAGCGGCGGCCGCTGCAGGAGCATCCGCGTCTCGCCGGCGGACGACCAACTGGCTGGAGGACAGTCCATGCTCCGGGGAAGCTCATCCGGCGGCGCGAGGGAATTACAGGATAGCCAGCGCTACATGCTGCTTCGATGCACCATCGACTCCAAGTCCTGCTCTCTGCTTGTCACCTCAGTGCGCTCGCCGACTTTGATATGCGGCCGCAATGGCCAATGATCCGCGCGACAGGGATCGGCGCCATCTAGAAGGTAATTCGCGCTTCAGAATGGGCCCCTGGTTGATGGGCGGACTTATATACCGACACCAGCCGTTCAAGTTCACACCCCCTGCAGCAAGCAGGCTGATCAGAGGGACGGGCGCACGCCCCTCACCCCTACTCGCGTCCACGCCCCGAATGAGCAGGGACGATTCTACACCCCCGGGGCCCACCTCATCTCTTACTACCTTACTACGTATGTACGCATGGTGGGCACACCCACACGCTAGCCTCGTATGGCGACAAACCAGACGTGGCTGGTCGCTACCATCAGGTACTCGTCCACCCCTGCTCCAGTACGCCGTCTCCTGCCATCCGCTGAGCAGTGCGAGCAGCCCGCGTGGGACTTCATCTAATGGAACTCTCATGAGAACATCTGTGCTTTTTGTCGGCCATGGAGCACTGCACGGTTATCTATCTGGAAACAGCTCTTGTATCCCTGCCTCGCCGATCTGTGCTGGTCGCAACAACTCTGACCGCTTCGTCCTTCTTCCGCGTGGGGTTTGGCCAGAGATATGGAGTGGCTGAACCTTCAACACAGACGGACGAGGTCTACGGAATCAGGCCATTTTCGTTCAGCTGTGCTGCTCTGCTATTTCAACTAAGTCTCTGTAGTATTACTCCACTCAGAAGTGACCACGCCCTGCGCTTCTTGGCCTTTTGTCATCCCCGCCTCGCACGCGGGCGCGCGAAGGGGCCATTCTCGACAACCACCACGAGGCGCATCTTTGACTCCACCTTGGCGAGGTCGACTTCTTTTCCCTCCCACGCACACCCCCTTCTCACAATTCATCTCTCGGCGGCGCCAGATACCCGGCAGTTTTCAATTTTCAATTTTCGGGTTCTCAGGTGGAGACTTCCTTTTCTTTTGCTCGCTTCAAGCACGAGGGCAACAAGTATCGGTGCCTAGTTTTCATTTCCAACCCTCATGAAGACAATATCTAGCCGACCTCGGTTCTTTGCCCGCCGCCTTCAGCCATTTTGCCTCGTCCTATCCATCAAAGCAGCTCTTTGCTGTCTCGCGAGACTCTGCCGCCCTTGAAGCCGCAGACATCTGCCGCCCTGGAGCGGACGTACGACATCAGCCCTCACACGTCTCACACTCCAGCGATTCCCAATGCACCGAGCTCCCAGGCCAACATATCGTCTTATCAGCCTCAACAGCAGCAGCACCGCGAGTCTTGCCACCGGTGGGCTGGTATTCTCACTCGGTCCAGGCGTACAGAGCTTCGTTCATGCGGCTCCAACCCACAATGGCTTCCTCTTCCCGATGGCTCACCGCGCCTGGCCCCACGTCTGGACATGGTCTTCCTGCCATGCGTCCCGTCGCTGTCGATAGTATCACGCCCCAGCCCGATGAGAACTCTTCTGATGGACGTGGCGGTGTTGTATCCAATGGCATTGATGAGGCCGAACGACCTACACACGCCGTCGGCTCCCAGGGTCGCTGGAGCCTCCTTTGCAGCGCTTCTCGCTGCGCTGCTGTCAATACCTCTCGCACCTACAATGCCAAAAGCATATTCGACCTGATCAAGAATGTCGGCGGCAAGTTTCCCTGCCCTCACTGTAACAAGGTCTACAAGCGAAAGAGCAACTTGAAGCTCCACCTCTTGCGCCGTAAGTAACAACCTCCTGACCCACGCAGCTTGTTGTCTCGCTGACAAAGATGATCACTAGGCACGTGCACCCTGTGTGGCAGATTTTATTCGAAACCTTGCCATCTCGAGAGTCACTTCCCAAAGTGCTACACCCGCCGACGTAAATCAACTCGTGTTGATAATCACTTATCTCGCCGTCAGACTCATGTCGAGAAGAAAGCCGCTCGGCGAAGAGCAGCCCTTAGTCAGAATCACGGTCTGAACCACAGTAATGGTCCGGATATCATGCCTGCGGATGGCACGGTTCAGTCTGATGGTATGATGCCCGTGCCGGACAGGTCGAGCAATCATACACACCACCGACGTCAGTCCTCGCCTTCCCTCCGCCCAGATAAGCTTGATGATGGCGGTCATCATGACGGACGACATTCGACAGACTCTGCCATTGATACTTCTGGCCAAGTTTGCAAGATGCAGAAGTACGACATGCCTCCGGTCCAATATGAGATGGTATCCAAAGACGGGCCCGATGTCGACCAACAATCAGGCCTCGATGAGATTCAATTTTGTCACACTAGTGTGCAGCAAGCCCATGAAACCCGCATCCAACTTCCTCCTGTTGGAGCAACTGCAGACAAGGAAAGTAGTCGTTCGGACAGATCAACAAGGATAGTATTCACGTATCGAATGTAACACTCCATATCGTCCAGACATTTCCGGCGACGGTGAAGGCTTTGAGGAAACCTTTGGTACACATGAACAAATGCACAAGGAGAGGCAGCGTTAGGCTTTGAAAAGGCAAACCAACCGCTCGCCTTTGGTTGGTATTCATTCTTCGACTCATTTTTCATGCCTTTCTGGTTTCTTCCGTCGCGGCTATTCTGATCAACTGTCATCATTTAATGCGGAGAAATATCACGATGACCTCTAGCATCAAAGTCGATTGGACGGTGGTTACTCTTCAAATGCATTCTGGGCGTGGACATGGTATTAATGCGTGAAACTGCCCTCAAAGACAACTTGAGGCTCCTGATTGACACCCATCTCCGCAGTCATCTAGATCTGTCAAGGGCCGAAAGCGCGAGATCAAAGCCCGAGCGGGACTTAAAGGATCCTATATGCTCTACTGTCAGCGAAAACAGGTGTTCGTGATTGCGTGTTATTGTCGGACATCGTAGGATGAATAGGGAAGGGGAAGATAGATAATCCAGCACCCCGTGCCTGGATGAAGGCGTCGGGAAAGCCATTAGAACGTCTTGATCTCAGGGGTTTTCAAGAAAAAAAAGAGAACCAATGCCGGGAGTTGTTAATGATTGAGAAGCGGAGGAGTCCGGCTAAATAGGAAAGAGAACAGGCGAAGAAGGGCGAGCAAGCAGTGTTAGCCATTGAAAACGGGCATACACTCAATCCGGGGGCCGACGATATAGTGGCTAAAGACAACCACGTTCCCACCCTCCTCAGCTTGCGTCGCGGGCACGTGAGCGTTAGAGTGATTGTTCTTGTTTAAGTTAGTCACACTCCACCTCGTTTGACTTTTCAATCCCACACTCCTACTTCTCTCGTTTGGCCCTTGGCCATTTCCAGCAGATAAACCCTCTTCATTCCAACATTATCCACCGACCCCGGCTTCTCGGCGCCAACTACCGCTAGAAATTGTGCTCTCCAATTCCAGAAAGCAGAAAGAACACGTTTATTCGGCTACAGGTCCTTTGGCTATCTTGCAATCCTAATCTCGCTTAGAAACTCATTGTGTATCACTCGAAGCAACCACCTATCCGTTGCGTCCTATCAGCAGCCAGTGTCCACTTGACTGTGCTATCTGAAATACTTTGAGCTTTGCCTCGACAGATAGTGGCCATCGTCCTCCAGCTCTGCGTATCTTACCCTCCCTATCATTCATTCGCCCAATCGCCTGCTCCCCTTGCTGGCTTCACGGGTCTATAACAGACCCGAACCGTTACGATTTCTTCCCAACTTCGCATTGAGTCGTTGCTCTCTCCTGGTTCGGACTCCGATGACGAACCCAAAGCGCTCCCTACTCAGACCACGCCAAAAGGAAGACGTTATAAACTCTTTGCCTCAGAGGAGGATACCTCCACAACTCTCAACGCAGCAAAGTCGGCAGGTAAGCAAGCTCCGGGAGAAGCCATACCTCAGATTTACATCATACCCGACGGCGATGACTCGAAGGCGACCTCGGCGGGAGGCTCAGGTGCCAAAAGACCCTCTAGAGCCAAGCGACCGCCGATGAGATCTAGCATAGCTTGTTTGAGATGCAGGAAATCCAAGATCAAATGCGACAACGACAATACCGGATCGCCTTGCGACACTTGCATCAAGGCAGGACACAAGTGTGAGTTTCCTGATCCAACGCCTCTTCCGGCGAAACGATCAGAACCGCCGACTGCGCCGAAGCAGGAAAGGGAAGTCGGGCATGACCGGAAGCGAGTAAAGAAGCTCGAAGATGCCACGTCCTCTGATGGACGTACTGTCGCCGCGCTTGCTCAGGAAGTGCTTTCGGTACACTATCTTACCGTCGACTTGTGGCATCAACTCTTCGACATATATAAGTTGCACTTCGCTACCGAACTGCCGTTCTTACACCTCCCAACTCTCAAGGGCATCATTCACGACAAGGACATCAAGAAGCCGTCAACCGAATCAAATCTGATTTTATTGGGCATTCTGGCCCTCACTGCAAGATTTCACCCCGACTTGGTCAAATATGTGGCACACATCACACATGACAAAATCACGGGCCCAAAACCTCGCGGTGCTCTGCCCAGGCCGGAGCCATCAATGGCCTCAGAGTACTTCGCAAACGCCCTTACGAAGGCACTGGGACAACTCGAATCAGCCCTGACATCAGCTACTATCGTCCGTGTTCAAGCTTTTCTCATGCTCGGTTTATATAAATGGAGCCAGCCGAACGGCGGACCGGCGGCATGGATGTATGTTGGTGTTGCCATACGGATGGCTCAAGGCTTGAAATTGGGGTCCGGAGACAAGCCTTTGAGAGGGAAGAGAAATTTGACTCTGTCTCCTCGGTCGAGTAAATCTACTCAGCTACCCCCAGACCGTTGGAAAGACCAGGAGATCAGGCGCCGTATCATGTTCAGTTGCTTGATACTGGATCGTCTTTTGTCCTGCGGATCTGATCGGGTTTCTATGGTTCGGTCCGACGACCTTCAAATCCAGCTACCTTGCACTGAACACGCCTTTGACCTAGGCCGCGTTGTCTATACCGGATTCTTACGACAGGTGGGACATGGCATGGAGCCACCAATCGACGACAGTGTCTTGAGTCGATTCGTACAACTAGCAGATTTCTGGGGCGATATCACCAAGTACAGTTTCGCGGGCGGCCGCCATACGGAATCCCTTCCACCGTGGGACCAAGAGTCGACTTTCTATCAATTGAATAAGAAGGTAGACGCCTTTTACGCTCACCTTCCGGAAGAGTTCACCTGGTCTAGCTCGAACTTCTGGAAACACGACAATAGCATGTATGTGTCACTTCACATGCTAGGTGCCCTGTGCAAAATCATGCTGCATCGCGAATACATCCCGTTCATCGCCATCAAATGTTCCGAGCCGGTTGGTCCTCTGGACGAGCCCGTCTTTGACCCCGAAGCTGTTCCCGACCACTTCTGGGAGCGCAGCGCAGAGCAGGTTTTCAAGGCTGGAAGGGAAATCATCGACCTCATCTCGACATGCCGAGACAAGCTTCCTCATTCGTCACTAGTCATATTCGCAATCTGGCAAGCAGCGTTTGTCGGAATATACGCACGGCACTATCCCCACATGGATACTCGAAACCACATGGTCAGCAAACAGGAGATCGAAGAACGGAATTCAGGAGCCATGTCTGAGAACACGCAGACGGGGAACACCAGTATCGCTTTCCAAGCATTGACCAAGGTTGCATCTTACTTCAGCACGGCCTCCAATTACGTCACGTATTTCAAGGATATTGATCAGTATCTCACCAAGGTCTACTCCGACTACACAAATCGAGGTTTGAAGAAGAGCGGAGATGGTTCTCTGACCATTCGACTGGGAGGAGGTGGCGGCGGACTGGAAGAGTGAAGGGCGAAAGCCGACAAGATTACGAGCAACGGCATCATCATGGACGACGACCGGCCAACAGCCTACGACGGCTCCGATGGATCGCGGGCTAGCAAATTGGAAAGGAGCTCTTCCTTGGGCCCTGAGTATTCTCATCTCAGCGGGAGCGGTTCGGACAGCCGGAGGGATTCCCGCCAAGCGTCGTCATTTACCGCCATCAACGCCGCCGCATTCCACCAGCAAGCCGTTCACGAAGGCTATGCCGGAACAGTCAGCATCGATTCATATGTGCAGCAGAACCAGGGTCAGCGATTCGGCGCTATGCTTGAGGACATTCAGGAATTCACGACGGGCGGGATGGTCTGCGCGCCCAATATTGGGGACTGGGTTCAGCGGGAGTTATTCTTGAAGGGGTCAGATGAGCAGGTGGAACAGGCTTCTAGGCCTCCAACCCGAGACATGGTTATATGGAGATGATGTATGGGAACGTTGTGTCAGGGAACTACATTGAAGCGCGTGTGGGATTTTCAGACACAAGTTACGAGTGCGTTATAATCTTGGGTACGAAGCTATGACGATTCCTCCCCACCGCGGAGCGAACAGTCATAGGAAAATGTCGACCGGGCATAATCAGCATAAGAGAGCGTTAGACAAAAGAAAAAGATAATCATCACCATATTTACGAAGAGTTGTTGCGCGATGCAATTAGTTGCGCCACATGAGGGAAGGGCTCCGACAAGACCAACACTAACACATGACGAAAGTCAACTGACGCGAGTCCTCTCCCTTGGCGCTGCCTGCCGCGGACGTTGAGCCACGTTCTCGTCACGTTCGCGTCACGCAATTTCCTCGTTTTTTCCTGCTTGCAGTTTCCCGTTCACTTGGGGGAAGCGTGCCAGTAGTCGAGTTCGAGTCGAAACTTGATTTGAGTTCGAGTCAAAAAGGAAGAACATGTCAAGTCAGTCTTGTCAGGTAACGTCAGGGTCAAATGTCAGTCAAAGAGGTCTGTACGACGTCGGCCATGTCCGCTGCTCCTAACATGTTTCGGCCTTGGAACAATGTCTTGAACTGGTTTTCTGAACGACGGTTGACCGATTCCCAGGTACGCGTTGCGTTTGGTGGAGGGTGGCACGGTGGTTGCGTTGCCTTGCGTTGCGCAGCCTTTTCGCACAAAAGTTGACCGAAAGGGAGCGCATTCCAATCCATCCGCCAACCCCGACCTAACCCTTGGAGGGTAGGAAGGCCCGTAAGGTACCTAGTTCTAGCCCACCAGAGGACACCCCCGAGCTCCAGCCAGCCACACAGAATCCAGAGTTGAGAAGGTTGCGGCGTCGATGTTCAGGAGCTCTCTGGATGACGTGGGATCACTCGAATCCTGAGACCTTCTGTTTTCTGGTACCTTGAGTGTGTCTAAGGTAGGCTATTGGGCTTACGGAAAACTCCATCAAACTCCCACTTCTTCTTTTTTCCCCTTCCTCACACCGGCCCGGTGACAAGCTGCTTTCCAGTTTCTCACCTGGCTTCTAGGATATACCTTTGTACCACGCACACTGTTTACTTTGTTTTTTTCCCTTTTACGCCTCCCGAGGAAAAGGTTGTTTAATCTTGTTGAATGGAATTCTGCTATTTCATCAGACGGACGTGTGATCGTCACCAAATGCCAGCGTGCGGTTTGTGCGGTTTGTGCAACTTGCCTTTTTCGTATATGTGCGTTGGGAAAGGGGAGGGTGGTTCCTGTTACTCCCGGTCCGAACCACACGGTGGGTTCGGACGATAATGCTAACCCGACCGGAAGGTAAGGTAGTACAGAGGAGGGCAGCGAGACGCGGTTCCGATGTGGGGCGTGGGTCAGGCCCGGGAGCTTGCAGGTCCGTATGGGACGGATGGGGCCCGGGACGGTAACCGGACCGTGCGTGTGAAGACAAAGATTACGCGAGCCCAGACCAGTATGGACGGTTAGGGCAGACAACCGTGTCTGTGAGCGAAATTCTTTCCAACGAGGACTATTGCCCAGTATCATCGAACTCTTGTTGGTCATCAAAAAGTCCGTCCCAAGAATAGCAGCCGTTCGCACCCGGCCGTGCCGTCGATTCCTTCGGTGATTATGTTGAACTCATATTAGAAGCCCCCAATGGAAACCAGTCGGTGTCTTAGACATGGATGTCAACCGGCCAGCACATCAAACTTGTGAATACCGCCCGCATGCCTCAACAGAACGCTCTTGAAACTTGTGATGCCTATAAGCCGACAAGAAAAATTAGAGCTTAGCCTTGATCGTTCCGCCATGGGCAGACGTATGAGCTGGGCGCGTCGACACCAACTCGCGGTTCTATGCCCCGAGGTTTTGAATCCGGTGTATGACCGTGTGAATGTAATGATGGTTTCTAGCTAATTCTTGTTGATAAGTCACGCCTGGGACATCTGGGTTCATCTCGCAGCTGAGTCCTCTATCAGTATGCAGGCGTTCTCTAGCGCATTTGTCCATGTACCGCTTGTGCCTGCGTGGCTGTGTTTAAGGTGCTGACGGAAATGGTCCGCGCGGAAGAATTTCTTGCTCGTGTTGCACTCTCGGAACTTGTGGATCTCTTGAAGATGGTAGACACGCGTTTTACAGTCCTGCTCGGTGCCGTGATGCGAAGCGGGATCCCCTGAGCCTCTCCCTTCTTTGAGAAACTCCTCACCGCAGAAACCACAAGAGTCTGCTTCACCGGGACGATTCGTACTATCGTGGAAAGCTTGATCATAGCCATTCAGAGCCGAGCAACTCCAGCTTTGCCTCCGAATATGAAGACTATTTTGATGGCGTTCGGCCTCGTTCTTGTTCTTGAATCGATTTCCGCAGAACGAACACGCATACTGCTTTTCGGCTTCATGAGACCTGCACATAATCAGCTCATGATCAAATGATCTCGCAATGTCTGAAAGCTTGTTACTGACGCTAATTCCGCGGCCGAAGTGAATTTCTTGGGTTTCTTCGGGCAACAGTCGCAT